CATTCTAGTCCCTCTTTTGCTGTTTTCCAAAAATTAATTTTTTTCTTTTTAGTCCTTAAATTTACATTAAACTTCTTTCATCCAGGATGGAAGGAAACTCTCCCGGCATAATGAAACTTGCCCTTCAGAAGGTTCTTAACATCCAAAAAATCAATAACAAGCAATTTCCTAAGGTTATTAAGAGAGGAAGTAGGTGAACCCAGTGTCCTTTTGAAGGCACTGAACTGTGGCTTAGGCGGGATGATTTTCCCCCGGCTCCCAGAGCTCTCAAACTCACCAGAGATCGCTATTCTACAGTTTCTTCACGGGGAGCCTCTGTATTTATGGGTGATCCTAATCCTCTCCTTAATCTAGAGAGGAGTTCCAAAGAACCAATCCATTCACCGGCTCCTCTTTCTGCTACTGCCATCAGCTCTGCTCTTGCGGAACGGTCTTCAGTCCACCATTGCTTCCCTGAAAGTCCCACTTTTATTTTTCTCTCACCCAGAACCAACTCAGATAGCGTTAGGAGAGCTTTTGAGGGCTTCCACATCTCTATTTGGAATAGCTTTAAAAAAAAATAATACTGATGCTGCTGATGTGTCCTAATTCAGCTATGGTCTTGCTTGGGGGGAGAGGGGAAATAGATTTTATATTTACAGTTTTAAAAGCTATAATTTCTGCTTTGCCTCCATCTCAGTAAGTTGGTTGTTTATATATAAGTTTTCCCTGTAAGATGACCCTTAGATGCTGTGTGCTTAGTGCTATGGTAAAGGCTATATGGATATAGTCTAATCAGCTTTCCATAGGGGACTTAATTTCATTTAAGCTTCATTAAATTCCATCCCTTAGGTGACTTTCAAAGTATCTTAAAATTTGATAGGATTGTAATGAGCCTGGTATTTATAGGGAGGTGTGGATTCTCCATAAAGAAAGGCAATGTGTATGCCGACATCCAGTGTGGAGGTGGTAGTGTTTAAATGAAATTGCCAGAACTGCTATTAGATAAGGAAACTGCTATAAATTATGACTTTTTGGGCTGTGCAGTATGATTTGCTATCAGCAGCAATTTCTGGGCTCCTAAATCATCCTTGTAAATAATAATTGAGGAGCTGGTTTCCCAGACTTTCATCAATTTATCTGTGCTATTTCCCCATCTATTTTCTCTTACTCTCCACTATTAGGCAGTCCTGGGAGCCTCCTGATGGTCAACTGGAATAACTCGGCATTTTCCATATAGAGGAACATCATGTCAATGGCAGGCTTTTTGGGGGAAAGGGGGGTGTAACTGAATAATGTTGCAAATTTGCCATTTTTCTGTGCACAAACTCTTAAGAAGGGAAGAGATGTAAAATAACTTCCAGTAAATTGCCTGTAACAGTTCATGAAAGCAGAAAGACACAGTCACAGGAAAATGAACTTTGCGTATCAACATGTGGGTGTTTTATTCATCTTCTTCAACTGATTTGTCCCCCTCCCCCATAGTTGGGTAAATGGAGTAAAAACTGGCCTCACATTCCTTTATTTAATTGAGAAATTAAAAAGAAATAAACAGAAATCTTCATAGTGCTGGTGTCCCTTTTTCCCCATAACAATCCATGGAACTAACACTAGTCTTGAAAGAGCCTTTTCACCTTCTGGTCACAAACAGTTTCCTGTCTGTTAATCCCTTCCAGAAAGTTGGTATTCCTCTCCTGAGAGCTGGGACCCCAGGAAGATGTTTGAGATAGAAGACCATCTCCTGGACTCATTTCTTCTTAAGCCACTGTGCTACACTCTCTACCTTCCCACTTGCTGGGTGCAGTTTCTTCGGATTATTTTCTGGTAGCAGGGCTATTATGGACCCAGTAGGGTTTGACCCATGAATTTTGATCTGGTTTCAGAGATTTTGATCCTGCGACAGATTCATACAGAGAATGAATGGTGATATGAAGTCTTGCCATAAAGATTGATATGGTGAATTAGTGATGAGAAAACATTCAGGAAGCCAGAACCAAGTCATGATATGTGGGAGTTATGAGTTTCCCAGAGTAAAAATGTCAGTTATATGGACTAACAGCTGACACTTAGTACCAAGCCCAAGAAGCACATAGCAGGTGTTCTGTTAAGTCAGGGGAAATCCAGAAAAGAGAAATGCTGTGTTTAAATAAGAAGAGACTACACCTTCATGTTGATGAGGACAATCAAGTGCTTTGGTCTGTCATAAAGATTCTTATCCAGATGTGCCATGTTGAGTATCTTGGTGCCTTCTACTGAGCACAAGCTAGGGAGCTTGACATGAGAAGAGAGAGAGTGAGAGAAGCCAGGTCCTGGTACTCACATCATACTCAGAAAATGCTCCATCGATTATTTCTCATCTGATTGGAGAGAGGTATCAAGTGTGATGCCATAGGATCAGTCCTTGGTCTTCAAGTCCCGTCCCCCCCGCGCTCGCTCTCTCTCTCTCTCTCTCTCTCTCTCTCTCTATATATATATATATATATATGAATGACTTGAATGAAAACATGGAAGGAATGGTTATGATTTTTGAAAGTGGTGCAAAATTATATGGGATAGTTAATACCCTAGAAAAGAGAAATCAAATACAAAACAGTTTGATAGATTATAGAAGTAGGCTGAAAGTAATAGAATAAAATATAACAAATGTAAGTGCAGAGTTTTTCATTTGGAGAACTGATATCAAAAGTACAGGTACAGAAAGGGGATGTCTGGCTTGGAAATAATACTTGTGGTAAAGATTATGGAAGAGTAAGTAATTGGTTGCAAAATTAATATGAGCCAGCAGTGCGATGTAACTGCAAAAAAGGCAAGCACTCAAGTATAATTTCTAAATCATGGGAGATAATTATTCTCCTTTATTCTCTTTGGTCAGACATCACTCCAAGTACTGTGTTTGTTCTGGGCACCATTCCCTAAGAAACACTGAGAAAATCTGGAATATACTCAGAAAAAAAATCCATGAGAATGCTCTGGAGATTAAAAGCTATGAAGAAAGACTGAAGGAACTGGTATATTTAGCCTTGAAAAAAGACAAATGAGGAAGGATCTAATATCACTCTTCAGATACCTGAAAGCATGTCAATAGAAGATCAAGATCATTTTCTTTCTTTTTCCACAGTATAGGACATGGAGTAAACAATTAAGGCTGCAGGAAGGCAGATTCTGATATTTACAATGAATATTAGGAGGAACCCTCCCCCCCCGACCCCCGCTTTCTAACAATAAGAGCAGTTCAGCTGTGGAACCACTTATCCAGAAAGGTTGTAGATGTCCCTTCACTGGATGTGTTCAGATATCTGCCCAGGATAACTTATTGTGTATTCTTGCTGCAATCAGAGCTTTGGATTTTGATAGACTAAATGTTCTAAAACTATGATTCTTTTTTTTTTTTTTTAGTGACACGTTTAATTGTCCCCAAAGC